TATGATTCAACGTAAAAAACCAGACGCTGATGAGAACTTGAAAAATATGTATGGATGGGTATATCATGTAGTGTGATGTATTACACGCACTTATGCATTCTTGCCCTAAAAATATTTTATCAAAGAGGTTAATGATTCACTGTATTTTCCATACACTGAAAAAACTTCAACATTCTATGCCGATGGGTACACTAAAACACCAAAGTGTATTACACACATCTCTTATTTCTTGTCCCTATTCTTCTAATAAAAGAAGTTTAGGATTCATCGCAACAAACCATACGCTGATGAATATTTGCAAAACTAGGTCAACGATTTATAGTAAAATCACATGCTATCAGGAGACATCACAATCTCAACTATATTTCCGTTGTAACTCATGATACAATGATTCTACGTCTCCCAAACATTCTTCTGATGCCAAACAGGGGGAGATTTATACACCTTCTCAGGGGGGGGGGGGGGTGGCTATAGACAAAAGTTTTCAAAGTGACTCTCAGAAGCATTCATTTTCTCAAGGAGAGCTCAAGTATGCAGCTGAAAGCAAGGCTGCTAAAAGTAGAATTTCTCCCAACGATACTTGAAATGTTTAGTTTTGACATCATCAGATAGAGGGCGATTGTAAGTTCACACCTTATGATCTGATGAGTCAAACATCATTCACACGGTGTCCACTAGCGCCAACATCAGTGATAGTGCCAGCATAAGCGTCAGCGCCAACGTCTACATAGTATCAGCGACATCGTGACCTTTTGTATAGTAGTCCAATACTTTTGTATATTAGTCGGTTACACACTTTGTAATTATAGATAGTTTTGTATTTATAGCATAAATATTTGATCCGTAATCTTAGTGATTAGGATCAGACTATACGTAGATTAGATTACATCCCTTAAATAAAGGGATTTCCGTTTACTGTGTTAGTATATAGTCTTGCATTAGGGTTAAACCCTAACGTGTGGTGTAACCGTCTTTGTGACTGCTTTGTGCACCTGTTCTCTTTGTGAGAACATTTTTCTTAGTGAAAAACCATCTTTGTGATCATCGTTATTCTTTTTTGTTCTATTTTTCTGTATCATCTTTTCTTCTGTTTATACTTGTTTGTATCCGATCAAGCGAACCTTCAATAGTTGATAAGGAACAACCAAGTAAGATCGTATTGGAGGTAGGGTCTGTTTGGTATATAAAGTAAACTGTTTAGAAATCCCATTTAAAACACCTCACTAAATCTATCCTAGACATCATTCTTGTAAGTAGATCGATCAGTATTATGACATTGAATCACTGATAAATCTTGTTTATAGGTTCATAATAATGATAATGAACTTAAACATAAGTTACACTTAAAGCATAACAAGTGTAGCTTAACTTACAAAGTTTCTAGCGAAAACCGAGAAAGTCGCGGGCAGAACTCCAACCCCAAAGATTCTATTTTCCGGGCTCCTTGGTGCCTCAAAGCCTTGCTAAAATACCCTAAATACTAGAGAATTTCAGAATTTTGACCTTAGAAAGTCAGAGGTAAAGAAAGTTGAGGTGTGGGGAGAATGAGAGGCAGTGAAGGCTATTTATAAGGGATTTTCAGGGATGGCGTGATCCGCTACCTACCAGGCGCCCCGCGCCCTGTACAGGTACCGGTTCCTCCGTCCATAATATAACACATGGCGTGATTTTATAAGTCCACATCGCAAAGAGGTAGGCACGGTTCCAAATTTTCAAAAATTCATATCTTACTCACAAAAGCTCCGTTTTTCGACGTTCTTTATATCCACGTGTAGGTATTTCCGATTAATACAACTTTCATTTAGACTTTGTCACCTAATTCTCATCCAATTTTAAATTTAACAATCTACGAAAATTATACTCCAAAAGACTGTATAAAATTCATAACTTCTTCATATGGACTATGTTCTTGACTGTCTTTATACCAACGGATTCCTATTCACGAGATCTTCAACTATTATTTACATTGTTTTGGCTAAAAATCAACTGATTTTAATTTCGATTTCTGTGTCCACACTGTCGCGCTGAAACTTTGAAAAATCATAACTTCCTCATATGATGTCAGATTTGGGTGTTCTTTATATGTACAGAATCACCATCACACTACTACAAGTTTTCTTTAGATTATTTGTCCTAGATATTCTTTTATTCTTAAAATGTTTTTTTAGCCATATTTATTAAGTTATTATATAAACGTTAAATAACACAAATCACATATACTCAATTAAGTATCTTTCATTTATTCATAGAAGATTGCAATTGTTGACCAACATAAATAGTTCTTTTATTAATTATGTCTAGCGAGAAACGTTGGCGTTACAAAATATGACATAATGGGTTAAGCCATTAAGTGGTAAATTATGATGTTATTAACCTTATAAAGTTGATAGAGTGAACTTTTATGAATATTGAAAACTTCATAAAAGTAAGGTTTATGTGATTTGAGAAAATGACCTTATTGCATAAAATAGATTATATATAAGAGTTAAGTCATACAAATGACTTAATTAATGATGAGCATGAATTGATTGATATTAAGAAATCAAGAAAATGTGTAAACAAGGAGGTCAAAATTTTGGAGTATCATCCATCACTACTACACAATGGACCTTCACCCACAAAAATTACCCACAGACAAAATTTGTGGGTAATTACCACACATTTGCCATAGATTTTCTACGACTTAAAAGACCCTAATTTACAAAGTACTTCTCACGGATTACACACAGATTACCCACAGAAAGAAATTTGTGGAAAATTCGTGGGAACAATATCGCCATCACCCACGGCTTACCCACAGATTTTGAAAAATAGGGAAACACTTCTGGTCTGTGGGTAAAGTGTGGGTGATTTTTCACAGATTACCCATAGAAAAACATTGTTTTATTCATTTTCATCCCTTAAACGTTGTTTTTTAGTTCCATATGTCTATCGGTTTACTAAACCAATGCATTTCTTTGTTTCATCAACTTATTATACTCATCTATGTACACATGTATGTGAATAATAAGTTGAAAAAACAAATGATACATTGGTTTATAAAGTATGTATGTATATATGTGTATAGTAAGTTGATAAAACAAAGAAATGCATTGATTTATTAAACATTATAAATGATAAAACAAAGACAATAACATTAAATGGTCAAAAATGGAAAAATTATTTATTGTTGTGGGTTACCCACATACCATAATCGTTTTTTTTTTTCGACCCTCAAACATTGTATTTTTTCATTCCATGCTTAACATAACTTAATAAATCATTGTATTTCTTTGTTTTTTCAATTTATTAGATACATATCATACACATGAATGTATGAGTTTACTAAGTTGATGAAAAAAAGGAGTATACTGAAATATTAAGTATGTACGCATGTATAAAAGTATTTATGTATGTTTAAGTTTATTTGTGAAATAAGTTGAACAAACAAGTCAATACATCAATTGATTATGTTTTGTAAAAGATTGGATGAAAAGAATATTTGTGGAAAATCCGTGGGTAAACAATTCTGTGGAAAATATGTGGGTAAACATCCGTGGAAAATCTGTGGGTAACAGAGCCGTGGAAAAGATGTGGGAAATCTTTTTGTGGATACTCTGTAGGTAATCTAGTCGTGGATAAGCTGTGGGTAACTTTTCTCGTGGATAAACTGTGGGTAATTCTGTGGGTAAACTGTCTGTGGTAAATATGTGGGTTAATATGTTCGTGGATAATCTGTGGGTAATTCTGAGGGTAATCTGTGGGAAAGCATTACCTACGAGCTTTTTCCCACGAATCTGGTTTTGTGGACAATGACCATTACCCACTGATTACCCACAAATAGGGTCGTGGGTGAAGGTCTGTTTTGTTGTAGTGCATATAGACCATAAACAAGGTGAGTAATTCTTGATTACTCTTATAATATAGATGATTGTTAATGATATTATTATTATAGATTATTAAGGCGTATTAGATAAGAAGTTTATTGATTTTTAAGAAATTGTATATGAACGAGAACTTTTATTTAGTTTATGAGATTTACATGATGAATTCATAAGAAGTGATTGGATCTCATTATGTAGAAGATCAATAAAAAGAGAATTTCTAGTTGAGATCATAAATACCTACATGATAGATCTATGAGAGGCGATTAGATTATTTCATGTAAAAGATTGATTTGACGAGAATGTCCAAAACGAAGATATGAGACTTACATGGTGATTGGGTTTATTCATGTAGAAGACTCCAATACAATGAAAGATAATGAGTAACTATATAATTAGATCTTTTTGATAAAAAGATTGAATTATAAGAGATTATTATTGAAATGAATATTATAATTGTATCATGATTTGATCAATTGAGTAAAGGAGTATAATTGATAAATAAAAATGATATTCTACATGAGTATAAATATATATTTCGATTTGAGATAAACTTTGATCATTACTCACTAAGCTTTCAAGCTTACCTTCATGTTTTAGTGATTACAGGTATATACGGATAAAGGAAAGAGCTTGGAGGAGTTGCCATAGTAAAAAACCATAATTTAGGGTTAATATGAAGTAACTTTAAAAAAAAAATGGATGTAATTTATTTTTAGCCGGTTGTTACAAATTGAGGGTATTTCTATGCTATATTTTTTTGATGGCCGAAGAAAAGGTTTTTTAATGACCGAATCAGAGTTATGGACAAGGTAAGAGGCATCAACTATTGTTATATCAAACACTTGGACGGAGTGACCTGACTAGTCGTCGACAAGAAATCAAACGCGACCTAAGTTGTATATAACAACAAGCACCTTTATTTGTAAGCACATAACGTATCTACGATACTACATATACAACCGAAGATTAAACTTTTACATAAAATTGTTATACCCCATTCAATTATATATTCATCGACTTCCGTCGAACACAAGCATGGAATCAACCCCAAATGCCAAATATATTTTTACTAACACATCGTCGTATACAACAAATTACCAAACAAAAAAGAACAAAAATAACGAGTCGGCAAGCTTAATAATGAAGCACTACAAGATTATACTCAACAATAGACGACGTATCATTAAGAAAATACGTCTGAGCCGTGGCGATCCCACGTGCTAACCTGAAAGCACCGGTCCCACCAACTATAGACATTTCACGAACCCGATTCAGTATCGGGTTTGTGCCAAGAAACTGTAGGGTGCTACCATTGAACTTCCCTTGTGTAAACACAAAGTTCAAGTTCATAAGAAACCGTGGTTCTTCAAAAGATGCTGCACCAAAGAACCCTTGGCCCTTACCAATCCTCATAGAGCGTGCATCTGGCTCAACCGTTAGTGGGTTGTCAAACATGAAGGTTCGACCAAATTGGGTGATTGTGGTCGAGCTGATGTTTGACTCGAATACTTGATATGCAGTTTGACCCGGTCCAGTTGTGGTGTCGTGAAAGTAGAAATGTAGCTTTGTGACCCTTTGTTTCTTGTGTGGGAGTTCTTTGAACCATTTTTCCACTCCTTTTGGCCCTTGAGAAATGCTTTGAACCAATGGGATTGTTATTGCGACAAGTGTGCATAGCATCAAGATCACATTCTCTTTCTTCATTTATATCAGAAATCTGAACCCTAAACAAAAAGATTCAAAATGGGACTTGATTCTTTATTTCTGGACAAAGAAATTGGGATCTTAAGAACTGGATTTCGAGTTGAAAATGGGTTTTTGAAAGATAAACGATGGAAACTTGAACACGGGGACTCGAATCATTAACCTTTGTTCTTGAAAACAAACGTCTTATAAGCGAAAAGATTGAAATTGAAAAGAAAATGGGGAAGTCAACTAGTCAACTCTGGTTTCCGTGAAAGAAACTCGTTTTCTTTGATGGAAGCAAGTGGAGGGTAGCATTCACATTTCTGTCGACACTGGACAGGATACCATTGTTGAATATTATTCCCTGTTAAAAAGAAAAAGTGGGCTTTTGATTTTTAATGATTTATTTGTGGAATTGTGGGGAGTAGTTTGTTCTTGATCATTTGTTTGTGGCCGAAAGGAATAGAGATCAGCTCGGAATCAATTAAACGATATCCACCTTACGTTCAATAGAGGAGGCTCGACTCCAAAGATTAAAAATATTAAGGGAACATTTGGGATTGTTTATTTAAAGTTATTTTATAATATATTAGAAACTCCCTTAATAAGGATGCAAATAAAATTAGATTTTTACTTTTAATTAAAAAAAAAAAAACAAAAATGCTAATAATATATAAGATATCATTTTTGCCTTTTCGGTTAATTTACAAATATAATCAAAATTTCATAAATAATAAAATACAACTTATTAACTTATCAAATTTTAGAACCAAATAAACTAATCCCAAAATGAAATTAAACAAAATGAAATTAGGATGTGTAAAATAATAATAATAAATGAAATTACGCAAAATGAAATTAGGATGTGTAAAATAATAATAAAATTAATATAAATATAATTAGAATGACTAAATAGAATAACTAACCTAAATGTTGCGAGTATAATTTATAATATGAACTTGGATATAAAGTATAAACTCTGCCATTGAGATATAAAAATTTCAATAGAAATTTTTTTTGAAAGTATTCAAATCTTACACAAAGAAACATTGATTTATTCATCATGAGAAAACCCTATATAGGCCTATCTGGATTTTCGAAACACATTATAGTTAAAACGTAAAGAATGAAATTGGTGATTAGGAGAAAAAAAATCAAACAGAAAACAGAAAACAAAAGATATTATGTAGACTTCACCCCTATCTTAAAAAGTATACAGATATCTCTTTGTTTCGGCCCTTATTTATTTTGGTCATGTTCCACGCCTGGTTGGACCGCCTACAAATATTGAGAGTGAAATTACGAGAATAATGAAAAATATCATACAAGAAGCTCAACACAAGACACAAAATCATAAAATATAGAATCAGCATGAGATAGCCGACATAAAGATGAACTAACTTTAATGTTTCCACTTTCAAACACATTATTGGAATTTCCCATTAAACCCAAAATAGAAATTTCAGTTGTCCAAGATTCAAGTGGTCACCAAAGTATAAATTTATGTAAGAGAGGGGCATGTTTAGATTCATTTATAAGGGTTAAATGAAAAAATTAACATCCCACTTTTGCACTATTTATAGATTCCATACAACTAGAAACGTGCATCCATTCTAACCAAAAAAAAATCTCAGAAAAACAGACAAATGGGAGGAGGTAAGTAGGTTTCTTTTTAAGATTGTGTTTCTCACCTTAGTCAATATGGGAGGAGGTAAGTAGGTTTCTTTTCTTTTTTACATGCCCCTTTTTAATATTGTGTAGCTACATGTTAAAAAACCATGGTATTAATTAAATTGTCTGCAAGAAACAGAAGAAAAATAAAAGTATTTTAATTTTAAAATGACATCTATTAATTGATATTAATGAACTACAAATAACGAGGATGAAATCAGATGGCTGTGTATACACGATGAATAAAAGTCTGAGCAACAGATATTGCAAAAATATCAAATACAAAAGACGTAATTTAAGTGATGAAGTAGCACAACGGAATCCAAACACAAACTCTAGTATTACACTTGTATAAACACAGAATATATCAAAATAACTCTTTGATTTATAATTGGAAATATCACTCAAAAAACCAATTGGTTTACACTGTGTTGTGCTGCACTGCACTGCATATTCATAGCTCGATATATGCTATATATATATATATATATATATATATATATATATATATGTTTATAACATTAAACTAATAAAAAGGAACCCAACATCTTGATGAGTTTCTTTTGCTTTTTCCTGGAATTATGGTGAGTGGGAAATAATGGAGGGAATTGAGATTCCAACAATCACCCCCGAATCTCTAAGTCCTTCTAGAGATTCCCGATCACCGCAAATCTTTAAGTCCTTCTAAAGATGTCTTCAATCCCGATCAAGTCTCGCATTGTCTTGAACTTGGTTCGAGCCAATGGTTTTGTGAGAATGTCTGCCTTTTGTTCTTCACTTGGAATGTACTTCACCTCCACTTGTTCCCTTTCAACACACTTACGAATGAAGTGAAACCTCGTGTGAATGTGTTTGCTTCTTCCGTGAAAAACAGGATTCTTCGTGAGTTCGATAGCTGACTTGTTATCAACTCTTAGGACCACCTTCTCTTGTGCTTTGTTCATGATTTCGCCTAGCAAATCTTGAAGCCATATTGCTTGACATGCAGCCGCAGTTGCAGCCATGAACTCCGCCTCGCAAGATGATAAAGCAACAGTATCTTGCTTTTGAGAACACCATGTTATTGGAGACAACCCATAGTAGAAAATGTGACCGGTTGTGCTTCTTCCGTCGTCCGGGTCGACATTGTGACTACTATCGCTGTAACCAATGATTCGGTTTTGCCCCATCCTCTCGTACTTGATTCCATGTGACGTTGTTCCACGTAAGTACCTTAGGATGTGTTTGATTGCAACACCATGTGATTCTCTTGGATTTTGCATATATCGACTAACAACTCCAACCGCATATGCCATATCGGGTCTTGTCTGCAAGAGATATCTAAGGCATCCTACCAACTTTCGGTATTGTGTCGGGTCGATTTCGGGTTCATCTTCGGCCTTCGACATTTTGGTTCCTGGATCCATGGGAATGTGGGTCGGATTGCAATCGTGTAAACCGGCTTCTTTTAGAATGCGTCTAGCATACGCTTCTTGGTTTATAGTAATCCCTGATTCTTCTTGTTTGACTTCAATGCCCAGGTAGTAAGTTAATCTTCCAAGATCAGACATCTCGAAGTTCTTGGACATTTCAAATTTGAACCTTTTGATCATGCTCAAATTTGTACCTGTGACAAACAAATCATCAACATAGATTGCTAAAATTAGCAAATTGGATCCTTCGTTCTTCCGGTACACCGATGGTTCTTTCATGCACTTATGAAATTTCATTCCTTTCAAAATCCCATCAAGTTTTGTATTCCATGCTCTCGGTGCTTGTCTAAGACCATATAGTGCTTTTGAAAGACGGTACACCTTGTGCTCGTCGCCTTTCCTTATGTAGCCTTCCGGTTGATACACATAGACGGTTTCTTTCAACTCTCCATGTAAGAAAGCCGTCTTGACATCCAAGTGGTGAAGCTCCCATCCATTTGTAGCGGCTAAGGCAATGAGAAACCGTATGGTTTCGATGCGAGCTACCGGAGCAAATACTTCTTGAAAGTCAATACCAGGTTGTTGTACGTACCCTTTAGCAACCAACCTCGCCTTGTGTTTGTTTATGGTGCCATCTGCATTTTTCTTCAGCTTGAACACCCATTTGAGTCCAATGGGCTTCACCCCCATAGGTTTGTTTACGAGAGACCAAGTATTGTTCTTGTTGATTGAATTGATCTCTGTATTCATGGCTTTGACCCATTCTGGTTCTTTCTTCGCCTCTTCAACCGATACCGGCTCGTCATTGGTTGCTAGGAGAAGTTCTTCAATTTCATCAACATAAAGTACATAATCTCGTAATCGAATTGGAAGCACCTTTTGTCTTGTGGGCCTTTGGTTTTGAACATTGTTCACGTTGTTGTTGATCGGACTTGGGTGCTCATTTTCTTGTACCTCCACTCCGTCTTCAATCTCGTGATCCGATTCGTTTGGTTCGTTGTTTACATCGTTTCCTTGGTTGTTGTTTGCCTCATCTTCCGGTAAATCCCATGGTACTATGAATGATCCTGGTTCTTCTTTGTCAGGTGTAGTTTCGTTAACCCAATTCCATCCTTTGGTTTCATTAAAAATAACGTCTCGACTTACGATTATTTTTTGTGTAACCGGGTTAAATAACCGATAGGCTTTTGTACCCGGTTCAGAACCAAGATGAACCAATGGTCTTGATCTTGCATCCAATTTTTTCACGTTTACCGGTTCAACTTTTGCATACGCTAAACACCCAAAGATGCGTACGTTCTCCAAATTAGGTTTTCTTTTATACAACTTCTCGTACGGAGTTGTATCACCAAGTACTCTTGTGTAAACACGGTTGATCAGGTTTGTGGAATGTTTTACCGCTTCTCCCCATAGATAGTTTGGAACATGCATCGCCTTCATGATACTTCGTGTCATGTCCATAAGTGTTCTGTTTCTTCGTTCCACAATACCGTTTTGTTGTGGTGAATATGGGGCGGTAAGATGGCGTTTGATTCCATTCATACCACAAAAGGAATTAAACTCGAGCGAAGTAAACTCACCTCCTCGATCACTTCGAAACACCTTTAAAGACTTTCCGAGCTCATTCTCCGCCAAAGCTTTAAATTTTTTGAAGTGTAAAAACGCCTCAATTTTCTCTTTTAAGAGAAAAATCCACATATATCGTGAAAAATCGTCAATTAGTGTGAAAATGTATCGATTTTGACCCTTCGTTGACGGTGTTATCGGACCACATAAATCACCGTGAACTAGCTCCAATGGCCATGTTGCTTTGTACGTCGTCATTAATGGAAATGACTTTCTTGTTTGCTTGCCCACCAAACAAGATTCACACAATTGATTTTCACTCTCAAAATGGGGTAACCCTTTGACTAGACCTTTCTTGGACATCCTTTT